TTTTTTTTTTGCTTGAAATTTGAAAACTTACAATTTATCCGTTAATCAGCAAGTATTTTCATGAAGTGTTCACAATAGCTAAGAATCTTAGTTTATTTTATATAGCGTCAGTAAGGCAAGTGATGGTCACAACAGTGGTGCGACGTTAGAATAAATATGTAACGATTTGTTTTTCAATCAGTTTTTTTTGTTTCCTTCTCGATCCAACCTAAATTTAGTAATTAATCAGGTGGGCTTATATATTACTATTTATTAGAAAAATTTACACTTTTATAAACATTTACTTGCAAATTGCTTTCATAGAACATAAGTTTAGAATTATGACAAGGCAAAGCTCAACAAATAAAAAAAACATTATTTCCATTTAAATGTAGAGAGTTTTGTTTTTAATGAAAACAATCGGTTAGATTCACATCAAAGGTAGCTGGACCCTCAACTATTGACTTACCTCTAAAAAATTGGATTTTTTTGTGATTTGATAAAGTTTTTGACGAGAATTTTTTTTGATTTGCTAGTGTTTCATGACAAAATTTTGTAATTTTTGCAATGGTACCTCCAGCGGAAATCAATTTTAAAAATAGAAATAATCACAACTTCTAGCTATTTTAAATTCTTCAGTTTTATCGTTGAATTTATCTTTACCCGTTTTTGTAGTTGATGAGAGCGCCACTATTATAGAAAATACTTCTGACAGTCAGTTAAGTATCTTATGAATATACCCGCGAAATTGACACTTTATTTGACTGTTCACAGCTCTCGTTCATGTATTGACGATAATTTTGTTTGGCGATGATCTCTCGGCTATTTATTTATTATTTCATGTCCTAATGATTTACTTTAAGCCATTGTCTGAATCATAGTTTATTTGAATCAATTGACAAATCGAATATCAAACCTTACTTATTGAAATTGACGATTCGTTCATTGGAATGTATTTTTGTGTTCATCAAAGGTTCAGAAAAAAACCCAAAATTAAAAGATTTAGAAGATTACAGTTGTCCAATTAAATCTATTTATTAAGAGGTATTCAATTTTTCTCTTTTATTTTACGTCACCATCAATGTGATTGAATGTTTTTTTTATATCTATGGAAGAATTTCAATTTTAAGAAAATCTTAACGCTTAATGCTATGGCTTAAATTTTACGTATGTTGATCCGAATACAATTCATCCGAATAATTGTGCATCGAAGTTCCAGTTGCTCAACGACTCTGTTGTAAGGATGAAACTGTTGGCCGGATTTTCAAAATTTTTGAAATACTCGATGATCTTGACAGTAATGTTTGGAAATAATTGATTGACGTTTTGCAGAAATTTGAAATATTTCCAATCTTTGTCTTCTGCACACATTGCAATCTGCAATCTTTCAATTTTGGCACCATACTTTTTAATCTGTTTGAATGTTTCCATATTCGCAGCATTAACATCGTAGAAAACAGAAAAAAGTTTCACGTTCGGGCAACTTTCGAACAAAGTCTTTAAATTCACTTTGAACAATCCATCAACAATCAAATGCAACGATGTTAAATTTGTGAATCGTGTTATTGTATGCAACATGTTTTCGTTGATCGAGCCAATCACTTCGTTCTCTTCGTCTTCCTCGTACTCTTCTTCGTCATCATAACCATATCCGTGATATTCATCATCAAAGCTGCGCAAATCAACTTTTGCTATCACTTCTCGTATAGACAGATCACGAAGACTATCACAGGTGTTGTCGTTCAAACAATTCAAAAAATTTATTACAGTATTGTTGCAACGTTTGAATCGAAGCACCGACAAGTGATTTAGACCACTTCCAAACGCTGACATATTCAAACCATCAAATGCTTTTGTGTCGTCGATTTCCAAACGGACCAGTTCTGGGCAAAATGTGAATAGTTGTCCTGAGATTCGATCCGGTAGATTTAGATTTAGATAACGGTACGTGTATTTCCAACTTTTCAGTTTCAATGTCTTGAGTTGCGAAAAAATTATTCCACGTTCATGCAAATAATAAATGAATGAGTAGGGAGATTCCTCAATAATCAGCTCTTCCAAATGATTCGGACAAAATTGATGAATCAAATTCCAAATGGTGTTTTGTGAATAATCACTGGCATTTAAATGTATGCGAGGTAGGAATCGACCGAAATGTTGCAGGAAATTTTCAGCCAAAAACATGTCATTCGGAATGCGAAAATCTTCTTGAGAACATTTTTGTTTGAAAATTGGTTCGATCATCTTCTGCATACGATGGCATGTTTGATAAAGTACCAATTTTCCACCAAAGTCCAAATAGCCAATGATTTTGTGTAAACACTTGTCGTTTAGTTCCAAAAATTCTTTTCCACTTTGATCACCACCATGATCATTGCCGCGATACCAGTGAATCAATTTTCCACGTCTTGTAATTTTTTCTTTCGTTATGACAATCGAACTACCAATCGAACCTAAAATCACGGTTAAATCTTGTTTTGCGTTTGCATTGAACCATTCGTGGAAGTTTAATGAAAGAGAATGAATAAAAAAATCGTCCATTTTTGCCGATGTCAAATTGATAGAACGCAATGAAGAATGGTTTTTTGTTGCGCCAATGAATAATTGAATATCATCAATAGTCACGCTTCCTTCATATCTTGCTTTGATTGTGATCAATTTCGGCAATTCTCGAATAAGGGTTTTCAATTGATGCGCCATGATAACAGTACCTTCCATTTTCAAATGTTTCATTTGTTTGAGTGAAGAGAGCATGTTTAACTGGTCGTTAAAAATATTCGGTCCAAAACCGTGAATGGTAAATTTTTCGATATTCTTACATCCGACACTAATAACATGGAACAGCAACTTCGAGCTGGAATAAATGGAAAGTTCGACCAAATTCTCCATGATAGCCATTGAATTTTCACTGATGATCATTTCTCTGTCCGCCAAATACAACGATTTTAACGACGACATATCGAAGTCATCAATTCTTAATGACACGGCTCTAGACTTGAAGTGTTGTAGTTGTCTGTTGTTGCTCAGAAAACTTTTTAAGCTACCGATGCCGCTGACATTATCGATTTCAATGCTTTCTAACTGTGGATATTGGCGTGAAGTCCACGATGGATTTATACTTTCAAAGTCTGACAATCGTAGTGAAGTCAATTTTGGAAATGTTAAAAGTATATCTTTCACGTTCAATTGTGTTTTACGTGCGTCTCCTGTGATTCTTAATTTCGTAACATTCTTCAGATTTCCTTTGATTAAAGAAAGTAACCAATGGTTTTTTTTGTTCGAAACTTTTAAACGGAAACTGATTTGAAGTGCGGAAACTATGGTACCATAGGACTGCAGAAATGGTCGATAACGCTCCGCATCATTCTGTGAACTTTTTTCAGATATTCGGTACCAATCCTGTTCCGTTTTACCTGAAGTAAAAGTCACAAAAAATATGAAAATTATTTAAAAATATTTAGTGAATAATGAAACGTGATGTCATCATCGTGCAAGTTCATGTTTAATTTCAAAAACAGTAGAAGTAAGGCAAACCACGAATAAATTTAAAAATTGCTTACAGAGTTGAAGTGTTCAACTTGAAAATAGCACAGTAGCCGTGCGCGCACAGTGCAAAATCAACTGAATTCAAAATCTGTTCAAATGTGAGACGTAGGCGAAATACAGGCGTAAGTGCACTGTTTGTTCTCAGCTCGTACGGCTACTGTGATCATTTCAACTCTGATTAATCAAGCAAACAACGTTGCTTAAATTTCAGATTTGGTAGTTGTAATGGTCTCATGAAAGAAAAAGTTATGATATTTTCAAAGATGATTCCGTGTATATTCTCTCTCTCCCTCTCCCCAGTACAACCACCAAATCTCAATCTCTTATACTCTAAAATCAAATTGACTCTACTCGAATTACAATATTGTGGATAGTCTTACCGCTGTATTTTGCCGGCATAACTTCGTTTGCTATATTTCTGAAGCGCTTGCTGACACGCTTTGCCTTGAACAATGTCTTTTTGTCGAAATAACCGAAAATTTTGATCAATATTTCATCAGGAAAATCGAGTAAATTGACTTTTTCCATTTTTGTGCTGTCACCTGAATCAAACAATGAACACTTTTGTATTAAGAGACGCTGAATAACAGTAGTAGTAGTCGATCATTCGATTGTGACATTTAAGACATTTACCTTTTTTACACGAAGAAAATATATAAATTGCTTCGATTTAGTTCATCGATTACCAAATTGAGAAATGTGCCTGGCTCTAAATTAAAAAAAAACGCAATATGTATGAAAATATTGAAATATCAAATTACATACATCTCTATAAATAATGCGCAATATTTTGGAATGATTTGATTTGTAAATCGAGTTTTGGACAGTAAAAAAAAGTGACACTCACCAAACACATCAATAATTTGCTTACGTAGACTTTAAGTTTATAAGTTTAGAATCTCACGTAATGACAAAGACTCAAAAAATAAATGAGAGAACGATTTTCATTGAAATGTGAAATGTTTCTTAAAGTTATGGTTACTGAGATGTACTGACATTCAAACAATCGCTCCTGTTGTGTTTACGCGTTGTTACTCATGAGAGCGCCACTATTGAAGAAAATACTTCTGAACTGTCAGTGTTAAGTATTTCGTTTATTTACGCGCGAATATTTGACACTTTATTTGACTGTTCATGTCTCGTTTCACGATGTAAACAAATTGACGACAGTTTTGTAGTGCGATGATCTCTTTTTAGTTTATTTATTATTTCTTGGTTTGTTTTGCTTAAATTTCTCAACTAAATCACAAAAAAATGAAGTTAATTTGTGAGATTAGTGTGCATAATCGTATGGCACCGCATGTGAAACCACGATCGCAACAATCAACACTGGCACTTGGTTACCATCCACCCAGTGCCAAAAAAGATGCTGACAATCTATTTTTGATTCATTTTACGGCAACAAATAAAGTTGGTACTCGTTACAAGCTCAAGCGAAATATTGAAAAGGTGTTCACAAAATTCGTGCAAGATGGTAAATCAACGTTTTCACTGAAACAACCGCCACATGATTTGCAAATTCGTTGCGATCCCATTTCGTTGAAGGCATTTTTACAAACATTCAAAAATGCATTGGAAGGTAAATTGGATCCGGCCAAACCAGGTCTATCAACGCTTGCTGTAACTGGAGTACCGAAGAAAGCAGTGCCAGTCAAATCGATGACAATACTTTCACCCAGTGATTATCCATTGAAAGGACTACCGAAAACGCTCACCACTTTAATTGTAATACCTACCAATAATTTTCAATCAAAATGACATTTTTCAAATGAACCGTTTTTTTGTTGGTCGTTTCAGATTAATGGCATTCGTAAATGTAGTTTGGACTCATCGATTCTGTCTCTGAATAATTTACAAATCTTGAATATGAGCAACAATCACATTGAACATTTGCCGAAGAAATTAGGAGATTTACCATTAGTCCAAATGGACTTATCAAACAATCGTCTTGGTAAATCGGTTTTTAGCGACTGGGATTGGATCGATAAGCAAAGAATCAAGTCATCTTTACAGAATCTCAATTTGAGCGGCAATGAGGTCAGTTGCATTTTTATTTTGCCTCATTTCCACTTCGACTAAACGTTTGTTCTACTTTCAGCTCAGAGTATTCCCTTACAAATTGGTAAAGCTACGGAAACTAATGGTTTTAACACTAAAAAACAATTGTTTACAACATGTTCCATTTTCAATTCGACGATTAAAATCATTGCGCACACTGAATTTGGCCGACAATCAATTCAAGTCACTTCCAGATGTATTTTCTCGCATATCACTCGATACATTAGATGTGTCCGGTGAGGAAATGTTTCTATCACCGTTCGCTATATCGATTGCACCACATGATCCGATGGCCGTGATTTGTCGTCAACCACCCACGCTATGGCAGTTAGCCACCAAAATTGTGATGACCAAAAAGTATGTGAATCGACACTAAATAATAACCATTGCCCACCGAATTTGGTCCAATTTTGAAATGTTTCAATTTTTCAGGATAAAGTACGGACCTTGCGATTTGCCAGCAACTGTGATCGATTCACTCGAAGAGTTTCCACTTTGTGGCTGTGGTCTATTATGCCCTCCAATAAATATTCATTTCCAAGCATGTATAGTAAACGTGCGAACAACTAGCTTAGTACAATCGCATCATATGACTAGTATTCCTGGAGATTCTGTTTATTGCAGTGATTATTGTAGACGTCATAAATACTTTATTTAGTCATTACTTAAGTTATTTTGACATTGTTTTGAAGCGAATATCTACAACGTTTGTTTGTTTTAATTCACATTTTTTCCGATTAAAATTTGTTTGGTAAGAAAATTGGTTTAAAAATATTGAAAACCTTTATAAATTTGTGTACTTGCACTATAGTGATCTAGATATTTTTTAAATTCATTATCGTAATGGTACCCGTGTAGTATACGGGCGCTAATTTGAAGTCGCAGGCACTCTTATTCGCGCTATCGGCGATTCCTCTTTAAACATTTTCGCATAAAGACACAGCAACAGAATATGAGTTATGCATACAGTACATACAGTCGACAGAGTCACTTACTAGCATAGCACACAATATGAATAGTATGCACAATGTGCATAGTGTGCTATGATATTGAGCGACTCTGTGGACTGTATGTACTGTATACATAACTCATATTCGGTTGCTGTGTCTTTATGCGAAAATGTTTAAAGAGAAATCCTCGATAGCGCGACAAAATATTTTGCGCTCTCGGTCATTCCTCTTCCAAAGCGCAAATAAGAGCGCCTGCGACTTCCATTTAGCGCCCGTATACTACACGGGTATTGTTCATTTCATTTAAAAAATATAATTCGAAAAATTACGATGGTGGGAAGCAAAA